CCCCAAACCCCCAAAACCCCAAAACCCCAAAACCCCTGACATTGCCTAAAATATTGACCTTAGAATAAATAATTTGATATAGGAATTTTCAGGTTCATTGAAATCGAGATGATCCCTTATCTTGTTTCGAACGATTACCCAGAAGGTAACGATCATTACAAATCAGTAGATGAACATTCATGATGCCATTGAACCGACGAATATGAGCAAGCATGACAGGAACCACTTCTTCATATAATACTGCATTCCTCCGAGCTGAGCTGTTATCGAAATCTCAGCTGAGTAAAACCTCAGCAATTGAGGTTTCAAAGTAATAGAGATATCACTAATATTAAAAACTGTATTATCAACATGATCGAAAAGAGGCACGCTCACTTTCTGAAGGTCATCATCAGAGAATCCGACAAGCTGTGGAATAGAAAATACAGCCATATGCAGGTACTTTACAAAGGAGTTATTTGTACCTAATGTTCGACCTTTGGTTAAATGTTTTTGTATGATTGTCCACAGAAGTTAATTTAGCACTTGTATAAATAGAAACAATTTTCTCAGTATCCTCAGTTTCCACTATATCCATGTCAAGGAAAGCCATATATTTTTGATCCTGCAGGATTAAACAATCGCTTGGGGGAGGAACACCTTTCTCATAACTATATCAATCAAGACTGAGCTCAGCCAAGAGGGAATTTTGGTTCTCCAGAAATACTAGCTCCTGCCTCTGGTATTCATGCGGCATATAGAAATGATAGAACAATGAGTAAGTAACAAATGAAACCAGGATACTGAGCCCAGCTAGAGAGGAGAAAACAGAAGTGTATAGGAATATCTTTGTTCACAATATAGCACTCTTGAAGAAAAACGTGAAAATAGTTAATGATACTTGCTTGATCAGTCCAACTATACCATTAAACTAAACTATCTTACCCATATATTCAGTCTGGTCTGGAAACATTGTCCATAAGATATAGTGAATAATCCGCTTGTTAATGTCAAAAATCTGGCTAATCGCCCAGAAAAATGGCTCCAATACACTAAATGCCATATTTTTTTATAAGAAATCATATAAATTGGGGTTTTGGGGTTTTGGGGTTTTGGGGTTTTGGGG